AGAAGCTGGAGATAAAGAAAGTAAATTTCCTCCTGCCCAGCTCCAGGATTCACCAGAAAATATTACCCTCCTCTGTGATCCCATAGTACTACTGCCCCACAGCAGGGTCATACTTCATTCAACTCACCAGAATGGGACCTTCTCTCTTTCCAACTTCGCTTAAATGTGTACTTAGAAGGTGCAGCTATAGATGTCTGGGATTTAAAAGGTATAGGTCACATAACAGAGGAAAAAAGAGTACAGCTAAGTCTCTGTGAATCATCGCTCAGAAAACACATCAGGGAAACCAGGAATAGTGGTACACATCTATAAACACAGTACTCAGAAGACAGAGGCAGAAGGACTGCCTTCAGTTCAAGGCCAACCTGGGCTACATAGGGAGTTCCAAGCTAGCCTGTACTACACAGCAAAACCCTGCCTCGGAAAAAAAAAAAAAAAAAAAAAAAAAAAGTTTTTATTGCAGAACATTTCAAAGGAAAAAAAAAAAAAAAAAAAGATAGAAAGCAAGAAAAAAAAACACATCAGGAAAAGTTAGGCTACTTTATTGTAGCTGGAGAGGAGGGCTGGGTAGGCAGGGAGAAGTCTCAGCAGAGACACCACACCCCAGATGGATCAAATGAGACAGGAAGGCTACCCAAAGCAAGCTTGGGGGAGGGTGGGCAAAGAAGGCTTCACCCCATTCTTCACATGTCCTCATGACTCACTCAGGAATATCTTGGGGTCCTGAAGGAATAGGTTATCTTGCTCAAGACTCAGCATGGAACTGACAGTCACTAGGTTCAAGGTTAGAAAGGATATTCCTCTGGAGATCTAAGAGGAAGGAAAAGGGAAGAGAAAAAACAGTAAGTACTATGCTATGCACAGAGGTATGTCCTGAGCCTGTTTGATAAAAAGGATTTATCTCTCCAGTGCCAAGCATTAAGCAGCAGACAACTTGTATTATTCATTTTCACTCCCACCAGGGCCAAGATCATTATCTTACCCCTACTTAGTTTCCTTAAAAGTTCTGAGCTACTGTTACTATCTGGAAGACAGACTTTAGAGCTAGATGAAGGTGGAAACAAAGTAAAGGTGGTGACCAGTGTGGCAGCTTAGATTGGAAGATATGAACAAAGGACCTGGAAAGAACAGAATCAGAGGTAGTGATGGTGACGATGGGCCTAGGGGACCCTCTTAGCACTAACCTGTCCTTTCTGAAGCCAGGATTCCAGTCTTCTTTTCCCTTTTACATCCAAATACAGAGAGGTATTTCAGTGATCCTGGATCATGAATGTCCCATACTGCCCTAATGGACTGCACCCAACTTGGCCCCTTCTGACCAAATTCAGACTAGCTGAACTTCAGTCTCCAGGGCTTGACCTCTGTGAGACAAATCCTCTTCACCTTCCTAGCACCCATACCTCCTGACTTGAGGAGGGTCAGGGAATCCCAGGCTTCTGGTCTGGCAATCTCCAGACGTGATCCTTGCTTTCTTGGCTACTTTGCTGCTGCTCCAAATCTGCCAGACCATGAACATAGGTAGGATGAGAACTCTGCTTCTATAGAAAGAGGCTCTCTCTCTATAATTGACCTATTAGCACACAAAATGATCAGTGGGCAAGGACAGTTTCTCACAGCATAGAATCAATGAAATGGGTAAAAGAGCTTTGGAGAAAGGAAAAATCAGTATAGGGGAAGAAATGGTAGAGATGGAGTAAAACATGATCAGAGGCCCAGAGGCCCCTCAAGAATAGAGAAAGAATGGTGCCTCCACTTGGAAGTATATGAAGGACAAGAATGATCCTGGTCTTACCTTCCAGCTGCAGTCGTGAGCCTGCCAGGCATCAGCCATAGGTTTCACTAGCAGCTCCTGGTGCTGGCCTGCAGATGAGAGAGAATATAAAGTGACTGTTCTTCAGCTTTTCCTTCCTTGCCTTGTGACTAGTCTGGTGCTGAAAACAGACAAAAGCATTCTGGTTCAACTGATGGAAGGTTTCCAAGCTGACTAGAAAAGCTAAGCTCACTCATGAGAGGCAAAGAACAAGATGAAATATTATGCCAGACTTCTCAATAGTGCAGACAGAGAGCAATGACTGGGCTGGGGAGATGGCTCAGTAGAATAAGCGCTTGCCTGGCAAGCACAGGGCCCTGAGTTCAATCCCCAGTACCACCAAAAAAAAAAAAAAAAAAAAAAAAAAGAGCAATGACTACTTGTTAGGAAGCACTCCAGAAAAAAGAACAAAAAATTACATACACACCCTCAATTTTTACTTACTGAGCTGGTTCTGCAACTTTAGCTCCTTCTGAAGAATCTCAAACTTCCACAGCAGTTGTCACCTACATGAGTGACAATAGTGTCATTCCAGAGTTAATAGACAAACCCAGAGTGAGGAGGCCATCAGTCTCCCAGAACACCAAGATTTCAGAGGCCTCAAAAAAGTAAGACCTTAAAATAAAGTAAAATAAAAAAGTAAGACCTTGCCCATCACATACTCAGTCTGAAGTCACTGATAAAGAACAGTGGAGTACTACACTCTCCTGGTCTTGATTCCATTTGGCTTTGGTTATGTGTCTCCTGCAAATACAAGTCCAGCAGTTCCCTTTCCAGCTCCTCCAGCTGTTGCACCAGGAGATGGGCTTGCCTTTCTGAGGCCCCATGCAGTAACTTTAATGATGTTATTGTGTGGCAAGTTGAGTGTCAGCCCTTCTCACTGAGAACTTTACATTTGAACACAGACATTGCTTGCAAATTAAGATATATGCAGGGCCAGGGAGATAGCTCAGTAGTCTAAGTGTCTGCCTGGCAAGTGCAAGGACTCAGGTCAATCCAGGTTACTGCATGCAGTGCTAGCTGAGCCAGCCACTGAAAACAAGCATGGTGGCACACTCTTGTAATCCCAGTGCTGAGGAATCTGAGACAGGAGGATCACAATGAATCTGAGCTATGTAGTAAGACCCTATATCAAATAAATAAATAAATAAATTTTTAAAAAAAATTTAAAAGATATGCACGCACAAGAGGTGTGCAGCACAAATATATGCACAAGCTGGGTGTGATAGTACATGCCCATAATCCCAGCACATTTGGGAGGCTGAGGCAGGAGGATCACTGAAGAGTTCCTATTCAGCCTGGGCTCCATAGTGAGTTCAAAGCCAACCTACATTACATAGGAAGACCCTATCTCCAAAAAAAATTGTGTGCACACCACATATAAAGCTAGATGTAGGGGCTAGGGAAATAGCTCAGTTGAATAAGCACTTGTCTGGCAAGTGCAAGGGCCTGAGTTCAATCTCTGGCTCCGCAAAGGAAAAAAAAAAACAGTTCTGCAAAAATTGTACTTTGTAT